GCCACTGGGCACCCAAAATCTGGAACACAAGTCAGCGCCTCCGAGTCAGACCATTGGTCCATCCAGTTCAATACTGTCAACTCTGACTGGCAGCAACCCTCTATGGTTTTTGAGGCAGTGATTCTTTCCCAGCCCTCCCTGACGAAGCCGGCGTTTGAACCCAGGACCTTCTACATGCAAAGCAGATGCTCTACCACTCCAGGAATTTTGTGCAGCGTCCAAATGACCTCCCCCTTCAAAACATCACCCCAGATTCCCCCATTTAATGTGGGTTTAATGTTTCTGCAGGAAATTCAGTAAGCAAAAGTAAATCCAGATTACATGGGAGAGCGGGGAAGTGGAATGGCATTTTGAAGGAGACGATATGTAGAGGCTGCAAAAAAAACAAAAAACTTCTGTGCATAAGCAGGGATGATCTAGGATTCCATGAATCCACAGCCAGCTTGCCCTGCAGAAATATCCCTGTATTTATGTAGTAGATCACAGTGCAATAAGGGCAGGGGTTGCCAGTGTTTTCTGGGTCAGTAGGCACATTTGCAAAGCAGAGATACTGCAGCCAAGCACACACCACAACCTATTTTCTCTTGGCTACAATAGCGCACTTCTTTCAAGCCTAATTTCAATGGGGCGGGGAGACTCTGCGGGCACCACATTGGCAACCTCTGCTTTTGGAAAAGGCAAAGCAGAGGAAACTTGTGGTTTTTCATTTGGGTGGCTGCCAGCTTTTTTCTTCTTCTTTTAACTTGCTTTCTGAACCAAAGCTCATTAAGTTTTAACACAGGCAAGCACTGACAACTTGAAGAATGTGTCCCTTTTTATTCCGTTCTTTAGGAGTTACACGCTGGTGCAGAGGGTTTTCTGTCCAAACTAGCTGTAATGGTACTTTTGACTCTGCTCGAGTGTTGTTCCCTTTATTTGCTATTTTGTGGTCACTGCCTTCGCTGAAAAAGTCTGTTTCTTAGGACACAGTGGCGCTAGAAAGAAAAGTCAAGTGTAAAAGATTTGTCATGTTTGCTTGGCGGAGCCACAGCCCACACCTCCACCTCCTTTGTTAGTGGGCAAGAAAGCCCTGTTGTTTTTAAGCCTCCAAATCTCTGTACCTGGGCCAGGGGACACTGCGAAGTCACACCCTCTTTCCCTGAGCTACATGCCTTAACTAGCCTGCTTCTCATCCTTCTTGCCTGGCTAGAATACATCCTTGCACTCTGATAATACCTCCTGCTTGCCTGGATGGAGAAGTAGGGCATACCCTCCAACATTTCAATAATAATAAAAATAATAAAAATACTACCCAGCCCATCTGACTGGGTTGCCCCAGCCACTCTGGGCATAGCTGTCAACTTTCCTCCTTTTTAAGGGACATTCCCTTATTCCAAATAGGATTCCTCGCAAGAAAAGAGAAACATTGACAGCTATGACTCTGGGCAGCTTCCTATAGATGTGTGTGTGTGTGTGTGTGTGTGAGAGAGAGAGAGAGAGAGAGAGAGACAGACAGACAGACAGACAGACAGACAGACAGACAGACAGGCATAATACAGGACTGCCTTCAGATATCTTCTAAAGGTTGTATACCTACTTATCTCCTTGGCTTGGGGGTCGCATAACTCCACACCCTCCAACATTTCTCTGATGAAAATAGGGATGTCCCAAGGAAAGTGGGACATTCTGGGATCAAATCAGAAACCGGGACGGCTTCTGTAAATCCAGGAACTGTCTCCAGAAAAAACTTGGGAGGGCCATGTGAGCGAGAGAGCATGTGTGTAGATGTAGAAGCTAGCTTTCTATACAAAATTAAATTTTATTTTCACTTTTCTGCCCACCTTTGCATCTAGATTTGCTCACTTACTGGCTTATGTACAGAGAGCTAGCTTGGCTGAACCAACCAATTATATCTTGGTCATGGGAAGTGCATGAAGTCTTGTGTTTCCTCTCAAATTGCTTGGGAAAATCTACAACACTTCCTCTTCCATCAATAAAGATTACCATCTAGTTTAGCAGTGTTAAAAAAAATAATACCATCCTTTGCAGCATTAACACAGAAACCTGGGACAAAGCTGTAGAGCTTTATCCGGGAGGCTGTAGGCGACCTGCATGTAAAGTCCCTCTAAAGAAAAGAGTGACAATATGGCCCCCGGAAGGTTAATGTGGCCCTTGGGCTAAGGAAGAGATTCTCTCCACCTGCAGAGATTAGAGCTTCAAGGCCCTGTCTTCTTGACCATCATGGCAAAGTCAGTACAAATTAAGCAAATTAACAGATGCTGGTCTAAGGGTGCCGTGCTAGGCTGTTTAAATACTAGACTACTCGCCACAGGGAGGCAAGGAGTTAGAGGCAGGCAGGCCAAAGAGGTGGAACACTTTCTCCTCTATGCTTACTACAGAAAGTGAGTGGACTGGCAAGTAAGAAAAGCCCACTCCTCAGTACCAGGGCACAGAAATGTAGCAGGCAGCCATTGAAGTAGATTCTGTCCCCCATCTGCAAGGGCAAAGAGAGTAGTGAAATTTTGCAACCTGGTAACTCTGGGGAACTTATTGTTAGGCTTTTTATTTATCTGAGCTACTCCAGCGAGTGGTACTATTGTACTATGTTTTGTGGACATCATGTGAGTGTCTGAGAGAGCGTGAGAAAGGAAGTCTGTATTATCTCTTCCTGTACTGTTGGAAGTTAGTTTCACTTCTGTATGTGTCAGTTTTCTGTACTGGTGTTCAAAGAGCACAGACGTGCTGATGGAGTCTTTGTACATAGACTGTAAATAAAGTAATTTTAGAACTACGAATCTTTATTCTGCCATGAAATACAGTGGTACCTCAGGTTACATGCGCTTCAGGTTACAGACGCTTCAGGTTACAGACTTCGCTAACCCAGAAATAGTACATCGGGTTAAGAACTTTGCTTCAGGATGAGAACAGAAATCGTGCTCTGCAGCGGCAGCAGGAGGCCCCATTAGCTAAAGTGGTGCTTCAGGTTAAGAACAGTTTCAGGTTAAGAACGGACCTCTGGAACGAATTAAGTATTTAACCTGAGGTACCACTGTACCAGAAGACTAGTGTGCTCTTCTCAGGAGAGAAAGGTCACTTATCACCGGTCTCTCTGGACTGAGGGTGATTTACAGCCAGGGAGGACCACTGGAGAGACGCTCCGAAGACTTGGGAAGTTGGTAGCCTTCCTGGGGCATGTTTCCAATACTTATTTCCATGGCTGAAATAAGGCCCCACCTAGGAGATCCCTGCTAAATCAGACCAAAATCCTGTCATACCCAGTGCCTGTAATAGCCACCCAGACAGAACCAGGTAGCTCCCCAATCAGAATGTTCCAGTATCAGATGCACCCAATAAAGTTCGAACTGTAGCCTGCAAAAAACTTCCACCATAACCAATTTGTTAAGACATGCCAACTGACATGACTGTTTTGCTGCGAAAGCCTAACACCACAAGGCTCCTCTGCAAAAATAAATATATTTAATCCATCGGCACAACGGATTAGGCAGCCCGCCAAGTTTCTGTCATTTGTGGAATGCGTATTGCGTGTCTCCGCCGGGACTACAGTGCCCACAGATGTTAAGACACGGTACATTTTAAGCATGTTTGATACTTGCCTATACATGAGGAGACATCTGGAAATGTGGAAGGATTCACGCGTCTTAAACACTGCATGCAAAGCTGTTTTGTAATTACAGTTTCAAAATCAGAAGCTTGAATGGCAATTAGGACGGAGGCAATAGGCCTTTGTTCTGGGCATTGAGGGGTAATTAAAGTGAGTCTGTTAAGCTTCAGGTTCACATGGCTGCAGCTGCACAAAACAGAGCTTCATGGTGCCACATAAGCCAGAGTGTGAGATAAGCTCTGCTGAGAGTAAAGGTAAAGGGACCCCTGACCATTAGGTCCAGGCGTGGCTGACTCTGGGGTTGCGGTGCTCATCTCGCTTTATTGGCCGAGGGAGCCGCGTGCAGCTTCCAGGTCATGTGGCCAGCATGACTAAGCCGCTTCTGGTGAACCAAAGCAGCGCACAGAAACACTGTTTACCTTCCCGCTGGAGAGGTACCTATTTATCTACTTGCACTTTGACGTGCTTTCAAACTGCTAGGTTGGCAGGAGCAGGGACCGAGCAATGGGAGCTCACCCCGTTGCGGGGATTCAAACCGCCGACCTTCTGATTGGCAGGTCCTAGGTTCTGTGGTTTAACCCACAGTGCCACCCACGTCCCTCTGCTGAGAGTAGACCCACTCAAATTAATGGGTCTAAGTTAGGCCCCATCTGCACTTTGCATAATCATAGCTTCCCCCAAAGAATTCTAGGAAGGGCAGTTTGCTAAGGGTGCCAAGAGTTGTTAGGAGACTCCTATTCGCCTCACAGAGCTACAATTCCCAGGGGTTTAACAATCAAACCCTCTTGCCAGGTTCTACTGCAAATATTGGCATCACACAATGATGCTCTAGGCATCCTCAACCAATTCAAAAGAAGTCATCGGGTTCAGATGACAGCCCTCAGAGCATTCTTAAGAGAAATCAAATGCAAAATTGCTGATCTAACAAGAACATGCAGCTTGTCTCTAATAATCAGCCTTTGTACCAGAAGAGCGGAAAGTGACTAGTGTAAGATTAAGTATTTGGGAAATATATTGGTATTTGGGCTGTTGCAGACCAGTTAGCCTGATATCTGTCCTGGGAAAACTGGTGGAAAGCACCGAGAAAATAGAAGAACAAGCTTTGCTAGAGAAGAATCAGCATGGCTTCTGCAAAATAACTATCCTTTTTAGAGCGTTTTATGGATTTCCTAGGGAGAGGGCGGTTATGCCCATGTCTTGCTCCTTCACTTCCAAGATGTCCACTTGAAGGAATATGCTGCTGGATAGGCCTGATCCTGCCGGGCTCTTATGCTCTAATCTGGAATACAGCGGTCAATGCCATGGACAGTGATGTGGAAACTTGCTACCACCCACCTTCCCGGCTGGTGCCGCCTTAAGGTTCATTGCCCTCCCACGTCCAGATGCAATCACACACTCAGAAGGCAGAAACACCACGTTTATTAGCAAGTATCAATGTGACATCTGTTTTTTAAGCAAGTACATGTACCCAAGTGGCATCTGTTTTTATACAAAGCAAGGAGTCTGGCATAAACAGTGGTGCACAGAGTAAGCCTGCAACAGTAGGGTACTCCTAGCCAGAAGAAGAAAGGGCCCAATCTCTACTCCAGGAAGGTCCTACTGGAGTGTAGGGAAATTGCACTAAAGGATCACCACCCTAGAGGCAATATATAGTCTCTGCTGCCAGAACCTCAGCAGGGAGCGGGCAGAGGGGAATGTCACTTCTGTGAAGAGTGAGCAGCCCTTGCAGCTACTAGCGAGGGGAGAGCAGGCCTGAGATGCTTGCTGGCTTCCGGTAAAAACAGAGAGCAAAAAGCCAAGCTAGGCTGCTACCCTATTACTTTCCGGCGACGGCAGGCTTTTCCTGGCGGCTGATGGGGATGCTGCGCTCCACTCCGGGAAGAGCCTGGGTAGTCGGTGCCGTGATGGATAGCACCCCGTCAGGAGACAGGGCCGAGGTGATGGCTGCCGGATCAACACCTTTGGGGATCATGTAGCGGCGGTGAAACTCCCGGGAGATGTAGCCGTGCTCATCCTATAAAGAACGGAGATGCAAAAACAGGCAAGTGACTAAAGGGGGTCCAGAAACCAGGACTCTCACCGAGAAATTTATGTATTTACTTCACAAAATTTATACGCCGTTTGATTGTTTTAAAAAGGTCAAAGCAGTTTACGGAAAGATAAACCAGTAACCCCAAGTAAAATTTTAGAACCCTACTTCTAGAGATAAAATACTAAAACACTGAAATCACCTCAGCTTTCTAAGTCTCTAGGTAGCTTTCCACAGGAATATTTTAGCAGGCACTGAAAAAGAGTGCAGTGAAGGCACCCGCTTGATGTCAACAGGCAGGGAGTTCCAAAGTTACTTCTTAATTATTTTATTTATTAAATTGGTTAGTCGCTTTATCTTGCCTGCCCAAGGCAACTCAAACAGGAAGTTCAGGCGGCAACACATGCCTTAATAATAATAATAATAATAATAATAATTTATTATTGATACCCCGCTCATCTGGCTGGGTTTCCCCAGCCACTCTGGGCAGCTTCCAACAGAATATTAAAATACAATAGTCTATTAAACATTAAAAGCTTCCCTAAACAGGGCTGCCTTCAGATGTCTTCCATTTACTGATGCATGTAGTTTTCGCACATTTCAGGCACGGCTTGTGGGGGAGCAGGGCAGGATCTGTGGCCCCTCCAGATGTTGCTGAACTACAATTCCCTGCACCCCGGCCATAAACCCTGTTGGTTGGGACCAATGCAAGTTGCGATTCCAACAACCTCTGGAGGGCTACGGATTCTGCTCTGGACACTGGTGGTGCAGCAGCAAATGTTTTTCCAGGCCATTCTAGCTACTGAGGTTTCCACATCCCTGCGTACAGACTAAGAGGACTCCAGAGCAATATGATTTGCTTCCAGGGTTGACTTAGGATGGCAGCTTTAACTTCCTGCTTTTGGATATGCCAGTGTTCTTCAACCTCGGGTCCTTGCAAGTTGCTGAACCACAAAACCCATCATTCCCAGGCAGCTTAGCTGATGGCAGCTCAAGGATAGCAGGTCCCCAGAACACTGCCCTACAAGCACCACAGGGATCTTTTAGGTCAGGGCCACCCCACAAAGAACCCATGAAGCCACATACCGGCCGTTCCTCATGCTTGGCATGAACCTCGATGTAGTCCCCAATCACCTTCACGCTCATCTCTTCAGGTGAAAAATGCTTCACGTCCAACAACACAGAGAACTTGTCTTTGTCCATCTTCACCTGGGTGGAAGGGGGGGGGAACAAAGTTAAAACTGGATTCAACAGACAGCATCTTCTACAGGCCAGCTGCCCCTGCGCCCAGGGGTGCTGTTGTGGACAAGTCAACACCCTTTTACTGCTTTCTTCAACAAACCACAGGGTAGGCACTAACACCACTGGGCATATTTAGCAATTATAACTAATTGAACTTGTTAGTTGCCCGCTGAACAAAGTCTCCCAAAAAATAGATACTGAGAGCACAATAAACACAAGTACAGTGGTACCTTGGGTTAAGAACTTAATTCGTTCTGGAGGTCCATTCTTAACCAGAGGTACCACTTTAGCTAATGGGGCCTCCCGCTGCCACTGCCGCGCAATTTCTGTTCTCATCCTGAAGCAACGTTCTTAACCCAACATACTATTTCTGGGTTAGCGGTGTAACCTGAAGCGTCTGTAACCTGAAGTACCACTGTACATTATAATAAAAACATGTCTTATGGGGGGGGGGTATGGGCATCCCCAGGAACAGAAGCACAACTAATAGCAAACACCACCGCAGTCCATCAAAAGCCTGGGGAAGAAAATAAGTGCTCTAGTAACATACGCAGCCAAAGCGCAGCACTTGCTTTCCTCTTCCCTCACCATTCCTTCTTCCTTTTATATCATGCCTTACCAGACTGTGAGCAGCAACTGTCTTAATCCAGGGATCGGATGCCCAGGCCCAGGAACCAAATGCTGCCCTCCAGGTCTGTATCTGGCCCCGAGACACTCCCCAGATCACACCCTTCTTCCAAAACCACACCCTCTTTGAGAGTTTGTGCCTGGGTGGAATACGTCAATGAATTCTGCTAAGGCTTCTTGTTTGTCTGGATGGAGGACCAAACAGGTATGCCAGGGTGTGCAGAGACTAGCTGACTGCATAAGGCAGAATTCACATTCGCTGCTCTGCTCTATCTCGGCTCTGGCCAACACAAAAGGTTGTCCAGAAGGGAACAGTGTCGTTGGGCTGACAAAAGTTCCCTGCCTCTGATATCATCTTAATATATGCACAGTGTTTAGGAAAGAAATTAGCCACTTTAATTGTTAAATAATAAGTTAGAGCCACCATGAAGCCACATTATGAGCACTGGGCAGCAGTTACAGAAACCAACACAGCAACAACCCCTCCAGGCTAAACACAACCCTTTATGATATGGGCGAGAATGCTCTGTATTTTACACCCCCTTTTGTAGCTAGCTAAGAATATCATAGAATTGTAGAGTTGGGCCATGAGGGTTATCCAATCCAACTCCCTGCAATGCAAGAATATTTTGCCCAGTGTGGGACTCGAACCCAAAACTGAGGAGTCTCTGGCACTACCGACTGAGCTAACCTTCAGGGTCTTCTAGGTTGGATCACTGTATATTTAGAGCCGGTGCGCCAAGAACACAGGAGCAATCTCCCTGCCAAGGGGTGTGATGAAGCACATTGGAAAAAGCAGGCACAAGACAGAAAAAGCCCAAGTATGCCAGTCATCCATGGGGAGTTAAGTGGCGGCAGCAGCAGCAGCAGCAGGAGTGCAAGGCTGCGCTGAAATCTCCCCAAGGATGAATTCTAACAGTTGGGTCTTAATGCCACAGCCCTTAAAAGCACCCCTCGTTTCCCAGGTCCGATTACATATTATTTAGTCATTATTATTTATGGAGCCGGTGACTACGGCTCCTTTGCATGCAGAGAAGGACCCTGGTTCAACATCCCCCCCCCCCCGCATGTCCCGTTCTAACCGCAAGCAGAAGGGACTTGGGGGTGGGGGAAATTCTTTGGATTCCCCCCCAGTGTGGACAGCAGGAACAACAACCAATGTCCGACTGAGCGAGGAAGCATCTCTAATATAGGCAAGAACTATCTGGGGTGATGGAGGAGGTCCAAGGTTCGGTTCCCAACTCCTCCTGTTCGGGATCAGCTATCTGGCGGCAACATGGGGAAATGATCTCCCTGGGGACCCTGGAGAGCCACTGCCGGTCAGAGCAGGTGGTGCTGGCCTAGACAGACAAATAATCTGATCTGGGGCAAGGCCACCTCTTATGCCCCCATGCTGGTAAGTAACTCCAGGCAGCTGTGGGCAGAGAGCCAGCAAGACAGTGCGTCTTCTGTACAGCAAGAGTCCAGAGGACGGGGGGCGGGTTGAGTCCTGCATGCCAGCCCCTTCCCCGCAGGGCAAGACAACCCAGCTGGCATTGTCTCCCCACCCTGCTCCCCCATAGGGCCAGCTGGGGAGGCTGAAGAATGTTACCATAATAGGTAAGCACAGCCTACCAGCCCCTTGGCACCCTTTCCTCTTTCAAGCGCGCACCTTCACCAATTGGCAACAGCAGCACCACTGCTTTAGAGTCCGCAGACCGCTTCCCCGCAGGAAGCGTCACATTCCCGACACGCAGGCACACCCATTCCCACGACGCAGGTCCAGACACCGAGCGCTACCAATCTTCGGGCATTTCTGCTCCCTTTTAATCCTAAGCAACCCCGCTCAGCAGCCTCCAGTTAGGCGGGGGACCTGCTGCGCTGTTGCTCGGCCAAAAAAGCACTCTGCACATGGCCAGAGGCATCACGACATACATGGGGGGTTTGAAAACTAACTTTTCCCGTGATCTTTCTTTTCTGTTCTGGTGCAATTCCGCACAAAAGTCCCAGATGGGTTCAAAACTTAACGCAAAGCACACCTACCTCCGAAAGCCCGGTGTCCGGCATTTGCGGCATCTGCGGCATCGCAGGCATCTGCAGGCTGGGCGTGCGCATGTAATAGGGGCTGAGCGTGGCCGGGAACAGGTCGCTCTCGAAGAGCCCTTCGCCGAACCTCTGGTCGAAAAGACGCGGCGGGAAGAGCGACGGGAAGGCCGAAGGGAAGCCCAGGGGCCGCCGCATCCAGGGGTGGTGGATGGCGATGTCCATGGCGCGGAGAGGCGAAGACGGGCGAGCAGCCGGAGACGCGCAGAACACAGACCGCGGCCAGGGGAGCGCACGCCCAGCCCGGCCCGCCGCGGCGCCTTTTATACCCGGCCGGCTCCGCCCCCTGGAAGCCGCTGGAACGCAGAAGAGACTTCGGGACGGAGCGGGAAGCCCCGCGAAGCGCCCGTGTGGGCGGGGCCACGGGAAAGGGGCGGGGCATGGCTCTCGCCTAGCCTCGAGGCTCACGTGGGGACAGATGGGCGGAGGCGCGGCTCAGCGGGGAAAGGCGTGCCTGGATCATCCGTGTCATCAGGATTCTGTTCTGGAAAGGAGGGAGCCGGGAAGGTTCTCTCGGCGTTTCCCCGGCTTTGAGCTCCGACCCAGCCCGTTCCCACGTTGAACGAAGACCCTGCAAAGTGGGAGGGCGGTGTAACGGTAACGTCTGAATTGGGGACAGGTGGTTAGATGGGGGAGGGGGGAAAGCTCATCATTTCTCTTCCCGTCGGTCAGTGCTGCCCCGCCCCCCCGGCCCCATTTCAGACGTTACCTTTATACACGGGAGAAGCAAAACGATGATGAGCCGAAAATACACCGAGGGAAGAAATGTGAGTCCTTTGAAAGAGAGCGCGCGTTAACAGATCTTTTAAATATTTGTTTCGGAATGTAAAGTGAGCACTCTTGAGGTTCGTGGTGTTTACATCGGATGATAATTAGGGACCCTGCCCACCAACAATTCAGAGAAAAGAAATGGCATAGGGTCGGCGGTCTCCGCTTTCACCACTTGCAGTGGAATAAAACTAGCATAGGGGAAAGTACGCTACAATTTGAGATTTCCACAAACCCAGACATTTTTTGTATCATTTGGCATTCATTCCTTTGTCACATAGGCAGGACAGCCTTCATTTTGAAGACAAACATGGACACAAGCCTGCCAAATCTGAACTTCACTTGACAGTCAAACAACACTAAATGTATTCTCTGGGTGTTGTTGTTTTTTAACTGTGAAGACAACTTTTCTTTTTTCTTTCATGAATTGGGCTTTGTTACTTAAACCTCAGAAGTAAATGTACCTATTCTATGTGCTGATGGTTTTTTCCGTCAGTTGTTGTCAGTTCTTCAGGTTTTTGTATATATTCTAAAATGCAATAAAATCTCTTTACAAAAAACACCACCACTCTCCACTTTTATGTCCCTAACACCATTTCCTGCAACCCACATTCGCTTGTTTCCTTCCCTTCCTCCTGGGTTTGCCTTCTAGCCTGATATAATCCTGGGAACTGTAATTTGTTAAGGGTGTTGGTGGGAATCGTAGCTCTACGGCTCCCGGGAGCCTTGGGGAGGGGGAAGCCATGCACTTTAAATATATGGTGTGTGTCAGTGACATGACCTAATAAAGGAGTTTGGAAATGTTCACAAAGCATCATTTTAATTTATTTAAAATGCTTATGCTGCCTTTCAGCGCAAGTGGAAGCATCCCTGTTGCGCCTGGCAACATGTAGATACTTGCTTGCCCTTCCTCAGCCCAAGGCAGAACCCTGAGCTCACTGGACCAACCCTGCAAGGACCAGGTGATGGATTGACGGAAGAGACAGCACATACCCAGCATCCTTAGCTGCTTCAGCAGCTTCTCCCTTTATGTAGCACTGCTTGCAAAGGACCTGGGGGGTTTCCTTCACAAAGCAGGACAATCCAGAATGCCAACTGGGGAAGGGATACAGGAAGCCCAGGAGGTCTGCTCCAAAAGATGTGAACACGCTTAACTCATTCATTTACTGCAGGACCTGTCCCCCTCTGGATATTATCTGACTACAACCCCATAATCCCTGTCTCATTGGCCAAAATGGCTGGGCTGATGGGAGTTGGAGTCCAGCTGTACCTGGAGGGTCACAAATCACCCCACTTTGCGCTGTGGGTTAAACCACAGAGCCTAGGACTTGCCGATCAGAAGGTCGGCGGTTCGAATCCCCACGACGGGGTGAGCTCCCGTTGCTCAGTCCTTGCTCCTGCCAACCTAGCAGTTTGAAAGCACGTCAAAGTGCAAGTAGATAAATAGGTACCGCTCGGGCGGGAAGGTAAACGGCGTTTCCGTGCACTTCTCTGGTTCGCCAGAAGCGGCTTAGTCATGCTGGCCACATGACCCGGAAGCTGTACACCGGCTCCCTCGGCCAATAAAGCAAGATGAGCGCCACAACTCCAGAGTCGGCCACGACTGGGCCCAACGATCAGGGCTCCCTTTACCTTTACATATACTAGCATGCTAAAGGGACTGATTCACACCTTCACCTACTGCAGAAGTCCTGTAGTTTCTCGACAGTACAGGTATTTCCCTCAAGTCACCATTTGGGGAAATATTTCGCACCTCTAATCCAAATCTCTGGAGGAGAACTAACATGGCAAATTTCGCTCCTTTATAAGCAAAGTAGTTGGAAAGAAGGGACTCTATATTATAGAGGAACAAGATTTGGAGGCTTTCACAAACGAGTCTTGTGGTTCAGCTTTTTCAGTATGCAGCTTGGCATCTTGACACTTAGACCACACAACTGGTCAACACTTGACTCACAGGTGAATGCAATAACAACCTTGGTTGGAAAGTACTGTAATATAAAACAGGCCTGCAGGATCAGGCCTTCTGACTCGCTTGAACTTCTCTCCATGGTGTTTGGTCCACGAGTGTAGGAGCCAACTGAAAGATACACTAAATGGCATTCTAATGCACAGTTTACATACAGCAGTCATCTCTCCCTACCACAAGCACACTTTTCTTGCTGAGCATACAATGTCGCCTCCTATAGCAAGCCGTGGGATTGGGTTAGGGAGACACACCTTTCAAATGCCAAATTGCCTTTGAAGCAGAAGGGATAGCAGCCCAGCTTCCTGCTCAAGGCCTTTATTAGGCTAATTGATGTGAGACTAGTAAAGCTGTTTTGTTTCCCTGAAAAGTATTTTACAAAATTAACATCTGTGGTACAACGAGCACAAATGTTTCCAATTTTCTGGCACTGTTAGCTGCTCTCAGTTTCAACTGGGAGAATTGTCAGTGTATACTTAAAACGTTCTTATTGAAATCCTTAGCGTGTGCCCCTGACCTTAAGTATATTTATTTAGAAGGGGCTAATTATACATTACCTGCAAATGAATGCAGTTGTGAAGCCCCAACACAATTTTTTAAAGTGAAAAAGCAGCCTGGGGAGAGGATAATTTAGAGTTGAGAAGCAGCAGGGGAAGGGAATATGTTAAAGGGAGGGGATATTTTTTCTCTAGCTCAAGGAGATGATAAAAGTGTGTACTATGAACTATATTCAATGAAGAAGGGGGGGAGGCAATGTCCTAACACTAGAATGTACTTTCTTTCTGCATATCTTTGGGAGGGGGACACATTACTAATTTATTACTCAACTTGTATCCCACCCTTCCTCCCAAAGGAGCTCAATCTCAGAATAGTAATACAACACATTATAAACATAATGTTGTGCACATATTTAAAGCATTTTAAAAACTATTTTAAAAACATCTAAAAGCAACTGCAGTAGTGGATAGATACAGCAATAGCTGATAATCAAAGATCTGCGTAAACAGGAATGTCCTTGAATTTATCCTGAAAGCCAATACCAAGGGAGACAGATTCGCTGCTCCAGGGAGGCCATTCCACAAATGGGGAACCACCACCGAGAAGGCCCTGTCATGGGTCAATACTAAGTGGGCAGTGGCCAGAGGTCCTCTTCTGTCCATTGTAGGGCCTAAGATGGCTGGGGAGTTACTCCTTTCAGGACTGGGGTTCCAAGCCATTTAGGGCATTGTACACTAACACTTATTGATCTCGGTAGCTGGGTAACTTAATTGGTTCTACTTGAGGACAGAGACTCTTCCCCCACCCAACTTTATGAGGCTATATAATGCATTTTGAAACCCAGAATATTGGAGTAGTGGGGCATGGCCTGACCATAAAAATAATATTTTAAAAATGTGCAGAGTTGTTTCCGGTTTGTAGGGAATGTTCCATTTTAAGAAAAATGCATTAAAATGATTTATTTATAAAACAAATAGCTTAGAAGCAGCTTGTTATCATAGGAATATCCCATCTCTCCTCCAAGGAGCTCAGGGTGACACAGGGTTCCCCTCCTTCTCCATGTTATTCTCACAGCAACCCCGTGAGGCAGCTTAAGTGGAGAGACACCCAGGGACCTTGTGGATGAGTGGCGATTCAAACCCTGGTCTCCCTAGTCCAGTGTTTCCCAACCGGTGTTCCGCGGCACACTAGTGTGCCGCGAGATGTTGCCTGGTGTGCCGCGAGATGTTGCCTGGAGGGAGGCGGGCGAGTCGGGCAGCGAGAGGCGGGGGTGGCGGCGGCGAGGAGAGGCCGCCCAGCGCGGGGCTCTCGCCGTCTGCCTGCCTGGCTGCCTGCGTGGCGCTGACGTCACGGGGCTGTAACGTGCCCCACATAGGCACACGCGGGGCGGCGAGCGAGCTCCCTCCCACATCCCATCGCCGCTCGCTTCGGCCGGCCTACTGGGCTGTCGCAGGCGGAAGGCGTGCGCATGCGCGAGGTTTTTGCGCCTTCGGGATTCCCTTCACGCCTTCCTCCTCCCGGGTCCTTGAGAGCGCGGGAAGCGGCAGCGCGAGACCGGCGTTGAGCCTGGTAGGTATTGCGCTTGCCAAGGCAGTCATTTGGGAAATGAAAACTTGCAAAGCAAGCAACCAGTTCAATCTGAAGTACGTGTATGCTTAATATCCTGTATCTGAAACCTGTTCTGCCCCCTCCCCCACACTTGGTGCCATTTTCATCTACACATGCAGCAGAGTAAGTTGACCCAGAATAGTACCAATTCAGATGGCAGATGGGAGAATGACAGTGCTGAATGCTTTCCCATGTAGAACAGTCCCTGCAAATAAAAACCTAGCATATTTGGAAGAGGGATGCTAGCCTAACCATTACCTTCTATGCTGTTACTATTTTTTTATTTTTTTTTACATAAGTAAAAAGTGACCTTTCCCCATCTGGCATG